TTCTCCGACCCCCTGGCCCCCTTGTTGTTGGCCTTCGCCTAACGTCTCTGTGAGCTTGCTCAGGAAGGACCTGAGTCGTTCGTCCCGTCCTGGCACGCAGGGCAGCAGCGGGGGAGGAGCTCCAGACTGCTGGAGGCGAATGCAGGGAGGGAGGGAGAGAGAGAGGGAGTGAGCTCTGCTGCAGGGGAGAGGAGGGGGAAGTGGAGGAGGGGCTCTCTCTGGCTGTCGGAGCCCCATGTAAGTGGCACCATCCGGCCGGCTGCCCTGTTAGCCGCGCGTGCTCTGCATGGGGGGGGAAGTCCGGACATTTACAAATTCCCCCCGGACGCTATTTTTAGCTCAAAAAGCCGGACATGTCCGGGGGAATCCGGATGAATGGTAACCCTAGATTTTCCTGAATTGGGGCCCTAGTGAAGAACTCCGCCTACTTCAGAAGCTTCACAAGCCAAATTGCTATACAGGGCAATGAGACTGGATGGACTTCAACTCCATCTCTGGAAAGGGGTAAGTTTTGCTGGAAACATGACAAATACACATCTCAATTATTCATTCACTGTCAAAGTGTGCAGAACACCATGCAATACATAAAAATAAAGACAGTCTCTGCCCCAAAGAGTTTATAATCTAGGAGACAGACAGAAAGATAGCAAAGTCTTTCCAGGTCGGCAGCTATGGAGGTTAATATGAACTGGGCAGAGCCCTATATGCGTTTCAAATTCTATATACTAGGTATATCAGGGCTGAATTACTGACACTAGCGTCCATAACATTTTGCTTTTATTGGTTTGTATCTCAGCCATACATCACTAAGCTTTGTTTACTAAAAAGTGAGGATGCATGAGTCACAGAAGCTAGCCACTTTGAATAATACAAGGCTTTACATTTTTAATGTAAGTGCTCAAGATGTAAACATTATTATTCTAGTTCTTTAAAACAGTGGTCATATTATCGCTATGTTCTTTTGAAAATTCTATCCTTTACTCTTATAATTTCAGTGAATTTTATTTTGATAAGTAGCCAAAGATAATTTTCAACAGAAGTGGAAGTATCCATAACAAACTATCCACAATATTCAAACAAGGAAATGTTTTAGTTTCTATTTAATTACCTGAATATAGCAAAGATTAGAATAATATTAATAACTCCTAGGAAAGCTCCCAGTAGAACTGGTGCTGTGAACATGTTCACCTGGAGATCAATGATTTCCCATGTCACTCCTTTTTCTCCAATCAGAGAGAAGCAAGTCTGAAAAACTTAAGATAAAAAAATTACCTCAGGAAATTCAAACATTAAAATTATTAATGCATTATCTTTGGGGAATCCAGTGCACAGTCATCTGATGGACACCAATGGGATCCTAACTATCTGGAAATACATGCAGCTTGTAGAACATGCAATCCCCAGAAAGCCATATGAATATACTCAACAAACAGCAGTGTGACACTAAGAACAAGTCAGTCAGCTGCACAAGGCCAAGAAAGGAAAATTATCTAGCTCCACACCTACCATCTACTTGTGATTCTCTGTAGTTGAACTGGATGTGCTAACTCCATCTACCCATCTATAGGAATGTCCTAGCATGGGATGGGGGTATCCCTTCTGCTAGGTCCAACAGAAGGGAAACAGACTCCAAAAAAATTAAACACTAAACAGGTGATGAGTGGGAGCAAGAGTGTGTGAATATATGTAAGAGCTCCTCCCCTGCCTAGCCTATGATCATCAGGAACTTGGCTGAGTGCCTATCAAAATGGAGAATGGGAAGGAAGAATGCACCCTGTATGCGAGTCATTTAGGGAGACTGCCTCTCTGGTTGTGTAGCCTCTTTAATGCTACTTCCAGGGTTGATTGATAGCCAGCCCCCCACAGAAAACTCTCACCCCCTGAGATATAAGGAGATATACTAAACATGCTCAACAGCCATAATTTCCTATGGTAATTGGGCAAGGTGGAGTCTTTAGCTACTTGCGGAATGAGGTCAGGCTTGCACAGGCACTCAATGCCAAACTCTCATCACCCTAAATAAGGTACAGCTAGTTTGCAGAGTCTTTATGGGCCAGTAGCTGCTGAAGCATTGTGGAGATGACTTTTTTTGTTTGTTTGTTTCATTTTCTGAACACCATCAACTAGTTAGCAATGGAAGTAACAGTCCAAACCTACTTTGTTAATCCAGTCATACCTGGTAAATTGCCACCAAAATTACAGTGAACAGAACTGTACTCATAAACAATTAGACTTTTTTGGAGGTAATATCTGCATAATGAATAAACCACAGCAGAATGTTAATGTATTCAGTTTAATATTATGACAAAACATGCTCATTTTTGTGCACACTGCTGCTAAGGAGATTCCCAGCCCCAAACTTAATGTCTGATTTTCTCCTAAATAACAAAAGGAGTGTAATTTGTTTTGGAGGGATGAGGAAATAAGAGATGTTGTACCTGGTCCTAGTATGAATCCTGTTGCTTGACAAGCACTGGTGTTGGCCATGGCGCTAGTTCTTTCTGTAAGAGAAGTGGCACCAGCAATGTATGATCGAACTACTGCTACATTTCCTAAAAAAAGATCAAAATGATACATTTAAATCTCCAGTCACAGTTAGTTCAATTCCCCTCCCCCCCCTTATACACCAAACAAGCAGTTTGCTAATGGTACATGTTTCCCTATTATATGCACAAAAGAAAGTATATAATTTTGCAGGTCTGTACACAGTGTTAGCTAACTACTTGTGTTAATCATTTGGGAAGATATTATTTGCCTAATAAATTATTTTGCTTAACATAACCATAAAGCTTGTCCTCTCTTAAGACACAAAATAAATTCATTCATCTTCAGCAGTTTAAATTCTGCTGCAATTACCTGCTCCAAACCCCACAAGGGCACGAGCAACCAGCATATAGTATTTGTTGTGTGAAGTAGGCAAATGGACATAGGCATAAAGGCAGTTAGCAGCCACAGAAATGGCAGTTGAAACAACAAGTGGTTCTCTTCTTGGTCTGTAATTGGACCATAAACCAAACAGAGGTGAGGCTATCATTTGTCCAAGACTGTATGAAGAAATAATCCATCCCAAGAAACTTGCATCTGCTGTCAGATCAATCTGCAGAAACAAGTAAAGTGATTTTAAAAATTACAGTGTGCTCTTCATCATATCAACAAAAACAATTTTGGAATCAGTCCCCTACAACCTGCAAGATTCTGTGCTATACCTCTAAAGTGCAGAGCTTACAGCGGAGGGTCAGAGGGCACTATGCAGCTTTAAGCCATCTTTGCACCTTCCTGAACCTGAAATGCTCCAGAGGCTAGAGAGACCCGCTGCATAACTTTCACTGAGGGCCTGTCACAGCAGTCTCCCCACACTGCCATCATGATCCTCCCACCCATAGCATGCCCTCTCTGCTGGAGATTATGGGGGGGGGGGTGTCGTCTTTGGAAGGCAGTTGTCCCACAGTTCCTGCACCAGGGGACTTCTACGATGGCCGAAATCAAGCTTTTATGGGTCCCTTTACACCACTCCAGCCCTTTTACATGTTGTAAAGAGACTGGAGCAAGGATGAGGCTCTCCCTCATCAATGCAAAAAAGATTGTAGTATAATAGTCCTTGACACACAGGGATTTTTATCTTCAAAGTTCTGTAGAAATGTTAATTTTTTAAGTCCGGACAACTTGTCCAACATACAAATAAATAGGATTCATGTAGTATGTTTACAGCTTCGTTAAAAGTCCTTTTGGGGAAAACAAATTATCTAAAATATCTACAGTTTTCTACCAATTTACAATACAACTTGAAGCGAAGTAAGATTGGGAAACCTAATGTTTAAGGATTGACAACATGAACCATTATTAATTGGTAAATTAAAGGACAGATTTTATGTGGAGTGTTAAAAATTCTCAGAGGCTAGGAGAGGGAATTTTCAGTCTAGTCATTCACTTCCACTTATTGACTTAGTACAACTGTTTTGGTTTTGTTGTTAGAATTTCTTATAAAGTGTAATGTTTTCTACTGTACACTCTACAAGCAGACCTCATGTCTCTCTGTGTCTGTATAGTGCTTAGCACAATGGGATATGAATGGAACCTACTTCAATAAAGTTAACGAAAAATACCTATCCCCAAATATCCTGATTTTATTCAAATACTATTTAAAACTGCAAGATATTCACGTTTACATCTACATATTGCTTTGGCAGTCTTTTCTAAATAAATACAGTACCGCAAATTTAATTAAAAGTACAAAAAAATCAACATGCTACATGGTAGTGCAAATTACTACCGTGGAAATAAGGATCAATCATTAAAAACAGCAATACAGTATTCCTACGTTAAAGTGTGATTAAAGTGTGAAACAGAAAACTAATTACTGAAAATGTAATAGTTTAAACTATTAGGGGAGTTTAGATAAATAAGTCCCTGGTCCACCAACGAGATCTATTCCTGTATAGAGCTTGTTGAAGGATTGTGCCTTAAACTGTAAAGTCCCTATATACCACAATAAAGCTCTAACAGCGATTTTACGTTCTAATAAAGCAGAAAATAAAATCATCATCAATCATCATTGTTAAAATTTACAAACCTTTTGCAGATATGGCCATACTGACATAATTACAATTGAAAAACCTGTGATGTATTAAAAAAATAAAAACAAGAAAACAGAATTTGAATTACTTTACATTGCTACATGTAATCATTAATCAAGTACTGTAAAATGGATATTATGGGGCTGATTCTTCTGCTTTTTAAAAATACTGTATTCTCAAACTGAAGCTCCACATGGCAACCAAAAGTACAATGGATTAAACAGTAATTGCTTTTCAGTTAGAAGAACTCTTATTTAAAATAAGGGCACCATCCTACGTAGATGTGTAAAAAAGTTTAATGCACTGAACACCTAGAGTGTGATCATGGTCCCACTGAAGTCTATATATAGGTGTTTTCCTCAATCCATATCAGGGAATAGAGCTCTCAAAGAAACAGATTTTCTTGGTATCAAAAAATAATTTTACATTTAGATTTAATACTTTCTTCAATCCTTCATCAATCTAAGTACCATCCTAATATCACACTAACCAACACAAAAGTCAAAAATAAGCCGATACCAGAAATCAATTGAATTCACACTTTAATGAGTTTGGCTCTTGGGGTCAAAGAGAAAACTGTTCTGCAGTTTTGATATATTGGGGAAACAAAAAGTACTGTGATGCCCCAGGAGGAAAAACATCTGCAAGTATATGCATTTTAAAATCCAATATTTGTATTCCAGCATCGCAGAGAAATCCTCATTCTTTAATACTAATGGTTGCTATTTACCCTTCCTTTTAATTCATCAACCCTATTTTCTCTATTCACAAGTAGTCATTGCATTTTTATGATATATATAAAAAATAACTAGTTAGGGAGCAGAAATAGTTTTAATATATAGACTTCTTAGAATTCTCAAATCAAAATAATATATCCATTGTACAAATAGTGTTGAAATTCTGCTGGATGAATATCAAGATTACTTACCTACACTGCTGAGAAACATTGTAAGGTACATAATACGAATGGACCTCCACCTACTCCTATAATGCTGTTGTGTTTCCACAACATCTCCATATCTTGAACAACAATAACAAAAAAAGAAGAAATAATCTCATTTTGTTGTTTAGCTCTTAATGAAGAATTTCTCAGCCTAAAGGACATCGAAAGCATTTTTCATAGGTTACCTCAAATTTTACAAATAGTATATGTATTTTGTAGCTTACACTGTTCATTGAAGAATATTAAAACACACATTGTAAATGAGATTGATTTGTTTCTGACATAAAGCTCATCTTTTGATGAAACACCAGCGTGCACTAAATGGCTTTTCTTTTCTAAAAAGAAATGTTTACCCTATTGTATCATGTTTTATTAATGATTGTTACAATAACAAAGTCACATATAGCTCAGCAATATTATATACCTAATAAATATGTCCTCCAATATTTTCCTCTCTTGGTTGCAGCATTTTGTGGTACGTCTTGCTGAAGTGAAAGACACATCACCTATCACATAGCACATACTTGCTTTTTGGCTCCCACTTCCCTATTAAACTGTGGTAGCACTGAAGAGAAAAATCAGAAGGTGATATGCCTTTCACTCATGCACCACAGGGCCCTAAAATAGCAAAAGGACAAATCTATTGGAGAACTGCACTTTTGCCCAGGCTGTATTGTTCTTTTACAAGTAAATTTAACCTTCATACAATATGCTAAACTGGAATCAGTGAGACTGATTTATGTTTGCTTATGCCTAGCCTCTGAATCCCGCAAGCCATTCGTGTAGGCAAACTCCTTTGTCTCCTCATAGGCATAAGGGTTTATTTGCAACAGATTATAGGACTGGGGCCTAAATCATGACTGCTAAACATTCCCTTTCAGTGTTATGAATTTAAAAGAAAAATAAAATGAAACCCTAACAACTGAAAATGACTACAATCAAAAGCGAACCTGACAAGCCTATTTTCATTATTTCCAGGCTTTGTGAAACGAAAAATGTAAACAAACAACATAACTGGTGAAAAGTTTTTTTTTTTATCATTCCAAGATAAAAGATCTAAAGTACTGTTATAGTTACATGAGCAAGAAATATTTTTATATGATGTATGCTGATAGTATCTCTTGAGGATCTGTTTATTTTTCAGAGGCAATAACAATTCCAATTTCTTCACAGGATTCTTCTGATTAATTCTATTTGTGAGGGACCATCTCTGTTATAGGTACTTTGACCTGGTCAACATAGTTTTTGTATTAGTATAGCTTCCACTTGGTGAGGGTTTTTTTCCCTCCTCTTTGGGGGGGGGGGTTTTGTTGTTTTTGCAGTACCATTCATGTCTACAGATAAGTCCTTAGAAGATAACTATTAATCACTTCCGAAGACAAGTGCTTATTTAAGCTTCAGCCTTTTGCTGTGAGGGTGGGGAAAGACGCGTGCCACGTACCACCCAGATACTGTGATAAAGCGCTGTATAAAATACCTAGATGAACAACCACAGAGAATGAGGGAGTTATGTGTATTATTTTTTCTAAATATCTCAGTTTCCTTGTTTGATATCCTGCCTGACTGTACAGAGTTAAATCAAAGGAGGCTGGTGAGGAGAAAGCAAAGAGGAAACAAAACTGTGATAGAACTAATTCTTAAAGGAACAATAGCGGACACTTTTAATTAGCAATGCCCATACCTGGCTTCATTGACACTAGCAAGATTTACTTTTCTGAGGCCTGAGCCTAGACTTAAAGGGGACACTAAAACCTTACAGATGTTGGCCTAGGGAAGAAGAGTGATTGAGGTCGTTCTCAGCAGCTGCCCAGATGCTGAAAAAAAACACATAAAAGTAGAGAAAGAATGCATCAAAGTCATCTGCTCCTCCCAACCTAGAGATGGAGGTAACTGGGCTGAATGGAACACTCCAAAGCTTGCAAGGAAACATTAAGGTTTAGATAGGGGAAGTATGCACCCAGGCCTCTATTGTTTTTACTCTTTGCTCTGCATGCTACCTACCTTTGAATGAATAAAACAATGCTTTGTTTTGAAGAAGCTATTTTGAGTCACTTCAATCAGCAGCTGCCACAGGCTCCCGGAGGAAAAGGGCTTACAGGTGCCAAACACATCTGTTCCTCTCATGTTAATGCAGTTGGGAAACAAGTGGGCTACCACCCAAACTGCCAGTCGCAGAGTGGTTGGTTCCACCTTTGAGAAACAGGCAGGAAGCCAAGCCTAAGTTTTAGGCCCTACTCAGACCCAAGCCCACCCAGCCCAACTCTTTCCCCACCAAACTTGAGTCAGCACCACCATCACCTCTCCTGCCCATGGGGTCAGTGTGGTGGTGGCTGTGTGTGCCGGAGGCTGTGCCCCCTGCTCCTACTGTATCTTGCTTGCTGTATGTACTGTGGGATGAGAAACGCTGTGACTCCTTGTCACACTCACTCTGCTGCATACACTGCACAGTGAGGTGGCAGTAGCAGTCAGAGCAGTGCATGCAACTGTGGCTGTGGAGATCCCATAGGCAGGAGGAGGCACGCCAAACTGACCCTGAATGGGTCTGGTTGTTGCAGTTGACCTTACCTGGACCCCACACTTGTAGTCAGGTCCCATCAAATTTAGGTTGGTTTGCAGGGCTCTATTGAGGAGGGCAGACCTAAAAGACTGAAAGGGGTCTAGAGTGCAGCTTGCCCTATAATCATGCCAACAGCTGACAGATTTTTAAAGATGTGCACAGTATTCTTTGGCATCTTCACTGAGACCAAACCATTTTACAGCAGCCACGAGGTGAGTGCAACTTTCACTCATCACCAACGTGGTGAGCTGGAGGCAAAAAAGGAAGGAAAAAAAGGTGATGGGGGCATTCTCCAGTCTCTGCTCATGCAAGTAACCAAAATGAGACACCACCATACAGATGTTGAAAATACAGCTGGGCAGGCTCTGGGAGGTTTACCAGTGGGCTCCACTTTGGTGGTGCTTGAATAGGCCTTTGGTCTCTGAAAGCTCCTTGACCTTGGCTCCTCCCTGACTGGATCAAATAACCCAGTTGTGGTATATCCCCCAAATGCTACCCCTACTGGGATATCGGTCACAGCAAATTGGATCTGTGTGGCTGGCTCATTTCTTCCAGGGAAGGCAAAGTGTAAATCGCTGTCTGTGTGCTGCACTTTATATCACAGTCAGTACCGTGTTTACAATGGCTCCGATGGTGCCAGGCCCACACTTGGAAGGGGCCCACAAAGGGTTAATCCAGCCTGGGCCACAGCCCAGCAATGTGAAGAGTCAGCAACTTCCCAGCACCAGCTGAAACACTCAGCAGCCTGGGGAGCGCAGTGAGCAGGTGCAAAAGGGATTGGCGATGCAGGGTGTGCTGGGAGTTGTAGTTTGCACACCGCTGTGTTCGGCTGGGGCCCTGGGACCTGCGCTGCCAGCTGCACTACTAGTCCCAGTATGCCCTGCACCATGCTACCAGCCACCCAGCTGAAATGGTCGGAGCGGACCAAAAACAAACCCCAAGCAAGGAAATGGTCTGGTGCAGGGAGAGGGTTCCTGGCGCTAATCCCGCTGTGCTCCCCTCCCCCTTGGAGCTCCTAGCTCCCCCCACCCCTGAGTCTCCCCGACTCTCCTGGGGCAGTGGGCAGCCTACTAGTGAATGTGATGCCCGGGGGCTCCTGGGCACTGTCTCGACCCTGCACTTCAGAGTGGGGGTCGGTTGTCTGTGGTCCCTGGGAGCGGGGGGGCGCGGTGACAGTGGGGCTTGTCAGTGCTGGCTGCTGCACTCCCTGCCAGTGGGAATGCCTAGAAACTGCCCCCCTGCACTCGGGGGTGGTGGTGGATGGGGCACGGCACAGCCCAGTTTTGGGGGAAAGGGGCAGTTGTGGGGCAAGTCAGGGTGCAATGGGGGAGCTGGCTGTGACTCCGTGTGGGGATGTAGGAGAAGCAGGGTGTTAAGGTAGAGGTTGGTGTGACAGGGGGCAGATGGAGGGAGGGGAGAGTCTGGGTTGAAGGTGGGGTTTGGCTCAGTGTGTGTGGGGGTAGTAGAAGAGAGTGAGGTGACAGCTCTGGGGTGAAAGTGTGTGTGGGGGTGTGGGCAGTAGCAGGGAGATTGAGGAGAGCCTTTGTTGGGGGTTAGTTGTGTGGGATGGGGACAGTAGGAGGGACGGTGGGGAGAGCCCACATGTGAAGATTGGGTTAGGAGTTTGAGGCTGGACTGTGGTAGCCTTTGAGGTAAAGTGTGTGTTTTCTCTCAGTGGCCCTTTCTCCCTGCAAAAGATGGGCACCAGCAATTTTCCTCCCCACACTCTACCCCAAAGTTTTGTAAACATTATTGTACCAAAGTAGAAAATGCAGTTTTCAAAAAATGTATTTACGAAACATAACTTTGGGAGGAGGAGGAAGGGGTGGGGAGATGCAGGTGCGACACATTGACTGCTACATCCAGGCTTAATATGGTTCCTATTTCTGCTAATTAAGCACTTGTGTTCAGGGCCCCAAGCAGGAGCTGAGTGTTTAAAGAAAAAAGACAAAACTAAAACAACCCCCTCCCACACAAACCAAATTCAATGGTATTCTGGGTACATTGATGTTAGCCCAGTTTGTTCTCTATGGGCTGAGTGGAGGTCTCAGTGTGGCTTCAAATATCTTATTTTGTTATTAAATAAATGTTTTCATTTTCATCCCCATCCTGGCAATAACACATTTACTAACACATTAAATTAACACATTTACTGGTGATGTCACATCCGGCCCACACTTGGAAGGGGCCCATCACAACCACATAGTGATAGGAGCCTACAAATATGTTTGGCGCTGAGCCCACAAAAAATTAATCAAGCCCTGATCACAGTATCTGGGCGGTACCTCACAGCAAAAGGCTGAAGCTTAAATAAGCACTTGCCTCCGAAAGTGATTAATAGATATCTTCTAAGGACTTATCTGTACACATGAATGGTACTGCTTCAGGTATGCTGAGTTACCACTAATACAGAGACTGTGATTCAAAATGCGGCGCACAGAAAGCGATTTACATTTCACCTTCCCTGGGAGAAATGAGCCAGCGGCACAGATACAATTTGCTACGAGGGATATCCCAGTAGGGGTGGTATTTGGGGGATATACCACAACTGGGTTATTTGACGCAGTCAAGAAGAGCCTAGCAGAGCCCATAGGCTTATTCAAGCCCTACCCAGTGGAGCCCGCTAAGCGAGTTACCCTGGCTGCCGACTCAGGGAATCTCTGCCTCCCACGCGCCCCGCGCCTCTGCCCCAGGGCGGCTGCTGGAGCCTGGCTTTCCGCTGCCACTGAGCGACCCGGGCTTGCTGGGCACAATCGGGCTGAACCAGAGCCCCGGGCGAGGGGCTCCACAGCGCTATGCCCAGCCTCTCGCTGGGGCGCCGGCGGCAGTGCCCGGTGCGGGCTCGCATCACGTGCTGGCGGGTCGGGGTCCCCACTTTACAGCGGGCTGCCGGTGTAGCCCCACAAAATGCTCCCCTCCCGTTTTGCTACTGGGAGC